TTTTTTTATCATTTATAGTCTAAAACGGGTAACTATACATTCTGCAGTAGATGTAAGGGCACAAAAATTCTACTCTTGACCTTTGAATGAGTAAATTGGAAGTATTAGCAACTTTCAACAAGGTGAAATCTGAAGCTGTGAGAGACTCAGTGCTGCTATTTAAAATAATGAAGCATTTTCTCTTTTTGGATTCAACTCACCGAACGATTTCCTTAGCAGGTCAAACAGATTTGCAGCAAAATGGAAAACATTTCCCAGGAATAAAACTGATCCCTACAGAGCAGCTGACTTAACTTTTCCAAGTAATAAATCTTTATCTGACAGGCCTAGCTTCCTCAGAGTGCTGTCCCTGCTGCACCACCCTGTCCCCAACCTTGCCAGGCCCTTAGATGCACCTCATGTTTACAGAACCACCTCACCAAGAGGGAGCCATGTCGTAGCTGTGTGACCTTGGGCCAGGTACTTCTTCATATCTACATTTTCTCTGGCTCAAAAGCTGAAATAGTAATGATACCTTAGGTACATTAATAACACAATCCTCATTAATAATACAATCTTCATTGAGGATTAAATAATTGCTTTAAATAGCTTTGGCGCATGTGAAATACTCAATAAATCTCAGCTATTGTTATAATCGCTGTTACACATGAAAAGCTTTTTTTCTGGTAATAATAAACCCTTTTAAATTTTTATTTATTTTTGAGACAGGACTTGTTATGTAGCATAGGCTGGGTTTGAACTTTTTTCTTTTTCTTTTTTTTTTCTGGTGGAACCAGGGATTAAACTCAGGCCCTTGCGCTTGCCAGGGAAGCGCTTAATTCTACTGAGCCATCTCCCCAGCCCCCTCTTTTTTTTTTGTCTTTTTGAGACAGGGTCTCACTATGCAGTTCAGGTTATCCTCGCACTCACCATATAACCCAGGCTGGCCTTGAACTTGCAATGATCCTGCCTCAGCCTCCTGAGTGCTGGGATTACAGGTGTGAGCCACATAGCTGGCTACTGAACATTTTAGATTGAGTTTACAAATCTATTTTGTATTTTGTTTTATTACCCTACAGGTAACTATAGTAGACTTCATGTTCCTAACTAGTTTTTATTTATTTCTGAGAAGGTCTTGCCTTGTAATGCAGGTTGGTCTTGAACTCACTTATGCAGCTCAAGCTGGCCTGAATTCATGGGATCCTCCTGCCTCGGCCTCCCGAGTGCTAGGATTACAACATGTACCACCATATCTGACTCTTAACTAGTTTCAACCATCAAATCTTTCATATAATTATCTCTCTACTCATTTACTTTTTCTATTTTCTTCAGCAAATAATTCAGTAAAGTTTTCAGAGAAGGTTCCTGGTTGATATACTTTCTCAATCCCTTGGTACCTGAGAATGTCTTCCAGTCGCCTTCATACACAAATACTAATGTGACAGGATGTATCATTCTTGGTTCAAAATTATTTTCCCTTAAAACTCTGTAGATACTGTCCCACTGCCTTCTGGCACTTAGAATTGCAAGAGCAGTATCTCAGGCCAGTCTGACTTTTGTCCCTTCATATATACCCTGATTTCTTGGTCTGGATACTTGCAAATATTTTTTTATTCATTAAATCTAATGAGGATCTATCTAGGTGTTGTTTCTTCTCATTAAAATTTAAAGATACCCTGTGAGCCTTCTTCATTTGCAGGCCTACTTCATTCTTCAACTCTGGGTAGTTTTCTTCAATTACTTCCTTAATTACTGGTTCAGCTTCATTGCTTTGTGCTGTTTCAGGTATTCCTATTACCTGTAGATTCTATCCCCTGGAGAGGCCCTCTACTTTCTCTTTTCTCATTTTAATTTCTTTGGCCTTTTCCTCTGCATCCTGTGAGGATTTCCTCTTGCACTTACTTCAGCAATTTTATTTTGTGACCAACCCTGCTTCAGTGCGTCCTACCGTCTCTTCCCTGTGCTCTCACCCCACCTGTTCTATAATTCAGCCCACAAGCGGATACTGAGCTCTTTCACAGGACACTCATTACTTTCTAGATGACCACTGTAGAATGTCAGTGTCGGGGGGAGGCCTTTTCTCCATTCCTTTCTTTTGAACTACGGTCTTAGGACCTTTTCGATGGCTCTTTACAATGTGGGCCCAAAACATAGTATTCCTACACACACAAGCTGAAGAACCTACACTCAGCCTGCAGCCTGCAGCCTATGTTGGCTCTCGACTTGTGGGGATCCTCCTGCCTCAGCCTCTCAAGTGCTGGGATTACAGGCGTGCGCCATGCCTGGCTTTCAATTCTTTTTGTTTTTCCTCCTTATATATAAGCAAAGCTTTAGCTCACAATTGCCAGATCTCTTCAATCTACTGCCTTGTCACATATTTTGTAGAATATGGCTCAAGTGAGACTTGTGTATTTTTTTTCCATGATTAGAGTGGGATTATGGCTTTTTGGAAGACCACAGCCATTTTTTTTTTTTTTTTTTTT